TAAGCCATACAAAAGGATCACATGGTTTTCTCTTTTTGACAAGGGCCATCTATACTTGACAGCAAAGTCACAGTGTTACTAATGAAAGCTATAATGTTTACTTAATGTTTCTTATGGTTTAGATAGTCAAGTCTGACCACTGAGAGTGGTGGTTCTCAAGCCTTCCTAATGCCACAGCCCTCTAATACAGTTACCCTAAACATACTTTAGCTGTAATTTTGAGTATTTGATAGTCCTTTTACTCAAAGGGATCATCTGGTGCCAACAATCATAATAATGTGTTACTTTTACCTGGTTCTGTTATATAGCAGGCACTGACTGCCAGCTGCCATGGGGTTTCCTTGATGGTTCTGCATAGCAGCTGGGCAGCCTAAGTTTGGCCTCTAGCCTTATCTGCTTCTCTTTCAGTGCAGTCTAGAGTGCATTTTTAGAGTAGTGTTAATGCTTTTAAATTCTGTAATTATAATTGACACTTTATTATATCTTCTTCCATATTCACTTCAGTCCCCTTGTTTTTATTCTTTCTTTTCATTTGTTTACTCACTGATCTAATCACTGAAGAAATGAGAGCCAGCCCCTCTGTGAGGCATTGAGCTGTAGTTACATGACCTCCAGTGGAGGTCAGACAGGGTGAACGTTCTCTAGTATGTTGGTGATGTCTGCAGGTGACAGCGCTCTGTACATCCTTGCATTGTGTAAGTGCAATATGCTGCATATGATGTGAAGACTTCAGATCTGACTCTCCATTGTGCACAAGCTGAAGGCCTTAATTTCTGAATTCATAGGCACTCAGACCATTTACAGAGGCAATAGAAACTGGGCTCACATGCATTCCATTTGAGATTTTTATCGAATTCTTATCTTGTGGCCCTTGGAAACTCGGCTGTGTCCAGCAGAAAGATTCCCAGTTACCAGTCATATTCTTGGAACTAAACACCTTAGATTAGATTCTGCTCTTCTCTACCGCTGTGTTCTGGGAAGTGCTGAATATGACATCAGTTGACCAAGGAAAGTTTCAGTATAGCAGAAATTCAAGGATGTTCTGGGTAGCTAGAGATACTCTTGGTTCTGTAGACAACCCTGAATTTCTAGGGGTAGGGGCTGGGAAGAGGTTGCTGTGCTCTAATTTTCTTAGAGATCTGCTTTTCCTAATGGAACTTCTATACTTAATAGATATGCACTGTTGCTGCCCCACTTCCTGAGACTCTGTCCTGTGAACCGCTCTTGTACATTAACGTAGTAAATCTACTGAGTTGCTCTTGTACCCTGCAACATAATGCCTGGTTATCCTCTGGGGAGTTGAGAATTCCATTTGCTTAGATTTTGAGTATAGGCTTCAATAATGAATCTTGGTTTATTCATATGCTGGTTTTAAGTAGCATATGTTTTTCCTGTGATTAGAAATAATATATGGAAGATATAATTAAAGGTTGGAGAAATAAATAGGCTCCTCTTGGGTTCAGATGTCCCTCTGGGCTCTTACAACTTCTTTCTCCGTCTTACTTAAGCTGTCTGATGTTCCTTCTTGTCTAACGTTAGCAGTTCCTATACTTCAAAGAATCATGTTTCCTTGGGGCTGTAGAGTTGACTCAGTGGTTAAGAGCACTATCTGCTCTTTCAGAGGACCTGGGTTCCTTTCCCAGCACCCACATGGTGGCTCAGAACTGTCTATAACTCCAGCTCCGGAGAACCTGATGCCCTCTTCTGGCCTCTAGAGGCACCAGGTACACACATGATCACAGACATAATACACACACACACACGCACACACACACACACACACACACAGGCAAAACACCCATATACATAAAATAAAAATGATCACTTTTTTTCTTGGAGAAAGAAGTCCTTTTGGATCAGTGAAATGACTCGGCAGGTAAAGGCAGTTGGTTGGAGAGAAAGAAGGTTAGAGGGGAAAGTGTGTGTAGACCTCTTTAAACTTCTTCCTGCTGATCAGGGGCATCAGGTTCCTTGGGGCACGTCCAGTCTCCATCATCAGGATATCTCCAACCAGCAATCTAGCAAACCAACAATAGCAAGCACAACAGCAGTGGGGGCAGCAGCCAGCCCAGGCCCTCTCCAGAGTCCCTAGAATGAAACTGCAGCTGCCAAAAATCACACCTCACTAGAGCGTGGGACAGTCATAGTTAATGGGTATGGAAAAACTGAAGCAGCCCCATATCCCACACCTGAGATTAAAACAAAAATATATTCACATAACATAACTGGGTTTTTTAAGAAGCCAAAACTCTCACTATATGCCACCTTATAAATTAATGTGATAGAAAAAATTTTAAGTCCATTTTTGTACCCTGTGTGAACTCTTCTCTTGACAGCAGGCAGAGAAGCCTTTTCATACTTTCTGGAAGTTCTTTTATGGTTATTTTCTTCCTTCCTTCCTTCCTTCCTTCCTTCCTTCCTTCCTTCCTTTCTTTCTTTCCTTCTTTTCTTTCTTTCTTTGGCAGGGTTTCTCTGTGTAGCTCAGGCTACTCACTGTGTAGACCAGGCTGGCCTTGAACTCACAGAGAATCTCTGCCTCTGCCTAATGAGTGCTGGGCTTAAAGATGTGTGCACCCATACCCAGCTACAGTGCTTTTTCATTTGTCTCTCAATCACAATTTAAAAACTGTTTATTATTTTTAATATATATATTTTTATAACTCCAGCTCCAGGGGACCTGATGCCCTTTTCTGGCATATATATATATATATATATGAATGACTATTTTGCCTGCATTTAAGTAAGTGTGTGTGCCTGGTGTCTGGAGAGACCAGAAGAATTGAAGTTATGGCTTGTTAAGAGCTGCCATGTTAAGAGCAGCAGGTGTTTTTAACCACTCAGTCCTCTCTCTATGTCTGATTTACTTTTTTAGTTATGTGGATGTATATACATATATGTAACACATAGTTATATATATGTATGTGTGTGTGTATAAATACACACACACAATTGTCTGTGTGTAGATATGTGCATGTGAGTGCAGATGCCTTCAGATTTCAGAAGAGGGTGTTAGATCACTTGGAGCTGGAGTAAGCACCCAGTGCGGCTGCTGGGAACCAAATGTTTTTATGGTCAGAATGTGCAATGAATTTAAAATATATTTTTTAAAGTATTTTTTAGAAAATATTACTAGAGTTGTACCTCACTAATTGTACTTTCTGCCTCCCCTCTTTTACATGTAACAGTAATAACTGTGCCCTAGAATTGCTTGTCATTTGTCCTTGTTGTCTGCTTGTTTGGTTTTAGACCCAAGGACTTACACATGCTAGACAATGCCCAGCCCTTTGTCTTTTTAAGTTATATTGATGAATGCATTTTATAGTTGTATGATTTTAAAAGACCATTTAGAAAATACAGAACCATTTAAAGACAACTAAGTGGGCCATGGTAGGACATGCCTGCCATTCCCCCAGGACTCAGGAGGCGGAGTGCTGGAGGGTTGTAAGCCTCAAGGAAGGAAGGAAGGAAGGTTAGCGAGGGTGGAGGTAGGAGGGGCCACACATGGTCATGCCCACAGTCTTCATATGGATTCTGGGATCTGAATGCCTGTCAAGTGTACAATCTTCGCTGCTGGGCCATCTCTCTAAATCACTCCGACCTCGATTTCTAAGAAGGCTACCCTCATTGTGTTGCTGAGGGGACTCTTCTTATCCTCTCACCTCTACTTCCAAATGCTGGGATCATTGGTGTATGCTACCAAACCTGGCAGTGCTATGCTGTGGTCAGACCCAGGGCCTCATGAAAGGCAGGCAAGCATCCTACCAAGTGAGCAAGTGAGCCCCAGCCCTCAACATTGTTATTGACCTCTTAGGATTAAGCAAAGGCAAATTATTTTAGATTTCTGCGGTTTAAACTTCATATTTTTCCCACTTTCCTAATCTGATACTATTCAGACTCCTATGCTCATCCACCACAACTACGTTATACTTGAACTGTCTCTTCAGTAACTGGTCATAGTGTTAGTTAGTAACAAATATTATTTTCAAAATTTTGCATGATATTTCTAAATTTCCTAGAAACCTTAAAGGATGGAGAAGGGACGACAGCTCTGCTGGTGAATTGAACTGGCCATCTTCAAGCAGTTTGTGATAGTTTACCTAAAATTAGCTAATAAGCTGAGGCAGGGGAATTGCTAGAATTTGAGGTCAGCTTAGGTTATAGAAAACAAAACACACAACAATCCTGTTTCTCGTTCTTTGTGAACTTTGAATTATTCTCACCCATCACGTTTCCTACATTATTTGGGCCACATCTTGAGGTCTAGTAGTAGCTGATTCTGGGCATTGTTGTCTAGATCTGCAGTCTCCTGCTCTTCATGTGGCATCCGCTATGTGAAGTCTTAGTTCTGACAGTGCCACACCGTTCCAGCCCCTTAGTCTTTGAAAATTGAATCATGCTCTTTCCATTACAGAGTTCTGAGTATTCTTGGTTTCTTTTTTTCTTTTTTTTTTTTTTTTGTTTTTCGAGACAGGGTTTCTCTGTGTAGCCCTGGCTGTCCTGGAACTCACTCTGTAGACCAGGCTGGCCTCGAACTCAGAAATTCTCCTACCTCTGCCTCCCAAGTGCTGGGATTAAAGGCGTGCGCCACCACCGCCCGGCATATTCTTGGTTTCTTACTGCGTTTTTTTCTTAAACCCTAAAATAACATTCATTGGCCCTAGACTTTCTTGTGGTTAGCTCATTCTACTTCAGGTTTATCTTAAACATCTTTTCTGCATACTAGTTCCCAATTTTAAGATATTCAATATTTAAATTGATCTGTGGACTCTTTAGTCTACTCAAAATGGGGGTTCCATGATTTCAGGCAGCTGCTTGTCATTTTTGTCATTTAATTGGTTGTCAACCCACACAAACAGTTTCTTGTAGTTCAGAGTTTCTCTAAGTGACCTGAAGGATTCAGTGAAACCTGGTAGCCACAGTGATGAAGTATATTGGCTTCCTTTTTGACCTTTATATATAACTTCTATTACATCCTCACCATACTTTCATTTTTCTTTTAGAAGAAACAGCCAATACTTACCTCCTCCTTGGCATGTGCTTAGACTCTTGTGCACGCTACCTGCTATTCTCCAGGCAGCTATCACAGGCCCAAAGGATGTATGAAAAAGCCCTGCAGATTTGTCAAGAAATACAAGGAGAAAGACACCCACAGGTAATAGATGAAACAGTGTATGTAAGCCAGGCCTGCCTGGTGGCACAGGTACTCTGCAAAGGGTCATAAGGTCACAGATTCAAGGATGCCTGCCAAAGTTGGTGCGCTCCTATGCCAAAGGGAGAAAAAGAAAAGGGGCTGGGGGTATATCTTGGTGGTAGAGAGCTTGCATGGCATGGTAAAGCTCTACATTCAGTGTCTTGGATCAGTTATGGGTGTGGCAAGATGTGGTTAGCCATCGTGAACTGTCATGAGGAATGTAGGTTGCTGTCCAGATGTATGGAATCTTCCACTCTCTGGTCTGTTCATTTTCTTTCCACTAGCTTTCACTACTCCCAACAACTTGTTTCAAGAAGGGTTTGAGATTGCTGACTAGTTACTGGCTGTGCATAGCCCTTTTATGAATGATGGTTTATACAGTAGTCTTTGTACAAGGCAGGCTTAACCTAGGGTCTGTACTCAAGAGCTTCAGAATATGCAGCCTCATGTTCACAGTGGTTTGTAGACTCAGTGAGAAAGAATCTCCTGGAGCGGGGGACTAGACCCAGGGGCTTCTTCCATACCAGCCAGAACCTTGTCACTGTTCAGTTCATATGTAAGTATCTTTTTCTCCTGTGTAACTGGGAGGCGAGGAAGTAGAGACTATGATTTTTGGGGGGTCAGGTGGTGGGTGCAGGGGTAGGACTAGGGATTAAAACTTAGGGTCTCATAAATTCAAGGCAAGGGCTCTACCACTGAGCTGTGGCCATAACTCTTAAAAACACTATTATAGAATTTTATATAATTTTTCAAAGCGGGCAAAACAAAGTATTTTGAGAATATTAAATGTAGAATTGAACCAGGTGGTGGTGGTTTAATCTCAGTACTCAGGAGGCAGAGCCAGGTGGATCTCTGTGAATTGGAGGCCAGGCTACAAAGAAATCCTGTCTTGAAAAACTACAAAGATTAACATGGAATTTAGATCATTTCTGCTTCTTCTGGCAAGCAGACATTCTTGGGGTAAGAGTTGATTGCTCTGTGTGATACCTGTAGTCCACAAGTGAGACTGAACATGGACTAGTTAGGACTTAACGCAGAGAGCCTGAGGTGTGTCGTGGGGGAATAACAAGCAGCCAGCCTGGAATTCTCAGAGCACTGTCTATGTTTGTCAGTTCTGAAGTCCTAATGAACCCCTCCTGTATAACATAGATGGTGTTTCTTTCCAGGGAGGACTGGGATTGGAGCAGCAGTGCTGCTGGAATACAGCGAGAGCTCAGTAGTGCTGGCTCCTCACTCCACAATTGTCTAGGGACGACTATTCTGTCCCATGCTGAGTCTTCAGTTACTTGCCATAGAGTGCAACTGGCATTGTCTGCAGCACAATGTGATCAACAGATGTCTGCAGTTTGTTCCTCTAATTTTGTGGAATTCTAGTAAAGTTGAGGACTTGTATGTATGTATGCAGTGTAACGAACTTCAGGTTAATATTCTGCATAGGTGTTTGTAAAGAAAAGGCTCTTTTTTCTTTTTAATAGACCATTGTGCTGATGAGTGACTTGGCTACTACACTGGATGCACAGGGCCACTTTGATGATGCCTACATTTACATGCAGAGGGCATCCGATCTGGCAAGAGAGATAAGCCACCCTGAGCTGCACATGGTCCTCAGCAATCTGGCTGCCATCTTGATACACAGAGGTAGGCTGCAGTGGAAATGGATTATACTCTTACAAAGTTTTCATTACTGGGCTTTGAAATGAAATGGTTTTGGGGAGGACAAATGACAATGAAGAAACCCTTAAGTCAGTGGTTCTCAACCTATAGGTGAGGCCCTTGGGGTCGAAGGACCCTTTCACAGGGTTGCCTGCGACCCTTGGAAAATGCAAATGTTTACATTACGATTCATAACATTTGTAAAGTTACAGTTATGAAGTAGCAATGAAAATAGTTTTATGGTTGGGGTCACCACAACTTGAACTGCATTAAAGGGTCACAGCATTTAGGAAGGTTGAGGACCACTGCTGTAAGTTAAAAGGCTGGCTAAATAAGGATAAAAAAAAAAATGCATGTGTGTTAAAGTATTATTTCGCTTAATTCACAAAACTGTCATATTTCTGCACAGCCATATGAAGGCAGAGAAATACTTTGCAGTGATAGGTTGTTGTCTCTGTAGTGTTTTACAGACTCTGAAGGGTTTTCACAGGAATAATAGCTCAGTGTTCTGAAGCCACAATATGATAAAACATCAGTTTCCTTCAATTCCATATTACTCAGGGCCTCTTAAGTTTCCATAAACCTGGGAACATAGGTATCTATTGCATGTAACACCATTGTGAAATCTTTGGCCCAGGGAGAGCCCACTGTAGTTCCACAGCACTAAGTTCTTTAGAGCTGACACACCTCTGTTAAGCTCAGGTTCTCTCACTCCGCTGTCATGGATGCAAGACATTAGACAGCACTAGATGTTTTGAAGCATCCAGCAAATCATACAGTGTCCTCACTAGTAGTTCTTAGTGAAAACACAAATTTTCTTTTCCCCTCTCTTTGGGTTATTTTAGAACGATACACACAAGCAAAGGAGATCTACCAGGAAGCGCTGAAGCAAGCAGAGCTGAAAAGAGATGAGGTTTCTGTTCAGCACATCAGGGAAGAATTGGCTGAGCTGTCAAGAAAAAGTAGACTTTTGACTTAATTTTGTTAAGCTATACAAGTTCATTTTGTTGTAGAGAGGGTAACCTCTGATAACCCAAAGGAGTAACTGTTCCTTCGTTGTCTGGACCTCAATCAGTGGTGTAAATCATTGTTGAAATTCAACGTTCTTCAACTCGGCTTCGGTGAAGGACAAGTCGTATACACTGCCGCTTTTGTTTCTAAATTCATTTTACTTTGAGATGGGTATCTCTATGTGTAGGCTGGCCTGGAAATTGTTATATGCTTGAAGTTGGCCTCCAACTTGGAGTACTCCTCCCTTAGCTTCGAAAGTGCCTGGCCTTGCTTTTGTTTTTAAAAGATTAACGGCTTTTACCCTGTACTGACTGTATGTAAGGTGCAGTCCATGCACGTCTGAGAAAACGATAGACTACAGTTGGCCAAGTTCCCCACTATATGGTCATTACACCTTCCATACGATTTTGATTCATGCTTACTCTTCTCTATCCATCTCTGGCAAGCAAGTTACTTGCATCATGACACAGGAGGATTTTGGTGAGTTCTCTTACCATTTTATTGAAGCATTGTGAGATTTAGTAACTATGAGGGGAAATGATAATTCTAGTTGGCCACCATTAGGCAGCATTCATTTCTAAAGTGGAAATGAGATACTTGGACTACATACCTGTTCATATGTAACTACTAAAAACGGTGGTGGCAGAAGGAATGAAGCCCTCGTCAGTGCTGTCTGAGCACTGAGCTTCCTTTATAACCACAAGCACGCAGTGGAGTCAAGTCATGCTGCCAGCACCGATGTGCTCCGTGGCATGTGAAGCCACCGACCTGGAACCTATTTAGCTCTGTTTATTTTGCTATCTCTGTTTTCACAGCTGTCAAGTGTGAAACCAATTAGCGTGTTTGTCTGATAATTCCATCACTGCCTCAGAGTATAGAAATATAAGATACATGGATGGATGCTTTTACCTTTGCAGTCTGACAAATGGCCTTTTGCCTAAGAGAAAGAGTTTTTCTGGGTACCACGAAGGAACCCTGGTGGTATTGGCATGCCCGTGGAGGTGGGCAGTGTGAGTAGGATTGCCAGTGGACTTTGGTTCATGTGTTTGTACTGGGAGAATCTTCATAATAAACTAGAGACTACACAATATTGTATGTATTCTAATAATCTTTGAATCATAGAAAACTAATGGCCAAGTTACTAGACGGACATACTAAGGTCCAAATCCTCAGAGCTACACTAGAGTCTGTTGTGTGGGAAGAGCCCCGTGTCTGTCTGAGCTCATCTACCATTTACTTCCTAGCTAACCAACCCCACGCGACCCTGCTAACCATGAGTAACCAGATTAAGAGTTCAGTCTCCTTTTGCTTTGAAAATACTTTTACTTTTTCTTTTTTGTTGTTGTTGTTGGTTTTTTTTTTTTTTTTTTTTGGTTTTTCGAGACAGAGTTTCTCTGTATAGCCCCGGCTGTCCTGGAACTCATTCTGTAGACCAGGCTGGCCTCGAACTCAGAAATCCGCCTCTCTCTGCCTCCCAAGTGCTGGGATTAAAGGCGTGCACCACCACCACCCGGCTTACTTTTTCATAATTCCAGAGTTACCCAAGTTAGGTATTAGGCTTTTTAATGTTCCATGGTGATTGACCTCATGTCATGTGGCTGGGGGACACAGTCTGTGGTGTGCTCCCAGCAGCATTCATTTGCACTGTTAACAAAAGGCAGTGAGACAAAGGGAGCCATCTCCTTTTACTGATTACAACTTTAAACAATTTACATTTAATTTCATATTAAAGTTTTAAACTATACCATGTTACTAGGGTTTTCAGGGCTTATAAGTGTATGTAAGACAATCACAGCATATGAAAATTTAAAGTGTAGTATAAAATTCCTCACTAAATAGGCTGGAAAATTGTCAGAATATTACCTCTGCTGGAAGACCTTGATTTAGTTGCATGTGCATGTGTTACAGATATAGTGTTGGCCCACAACAAATGCTACACCTTGATTTGCAGCTGACGTCATACTCAGTACTTGCTTCTGCCCTTAGTATCACGGTAAGACGACCTCCACTTCCCTAGGTAAACTTTGTGAGGATTCTGTTCTGTTGTTTTGAACTAAGAAATGATTCTGGATTTTATGTTGTATTGTCCTGAGCATGGCACAGTCTTCAGGAGGGGCTACAAGAGTAGAAAACAAGCTAGGCTGACTGGTCCTTAGATGACCCCAACCTGAAGCACAGTAAGACAGTCGGGGTCAGTCATCATCATCATTTTTTGGGCCAGTTGACAAAGTGACTTACTAAGTTCTAGACTGTAACTTGGCAGGGAGGCACCGTCAGCAGTAAACCTAATGAGAACATTTAGTCTTTTTTATGTTTGTGACTTTGTAAAAGGAGTAACAAATGATAAGAATCCTGTTCTGGCTGGCCCAGAACTCATCTTGTAATCCAGGCTAGCCTTGTACTCTTAAGTGATCTGCCTGCCTCTGCCTCCTGAGAGCTGGGATTAAAGGTGTGTGCTATGATGCACAGCTGAAGTTTAAGATCTCAAATGTCTGTCTTTCTTATTTACTGAGTTATATGGACAAATACCTAGCCTGCATCTTCATCTAAAAAGGATTAGAAAACCTGTGGTCTAGATAGATGCTAAGAGGTGCTCGGGCAGTGGTTCTAGAGACTTGAGTTCTAGAAGTTCATTCAGGTCTCCTGAAGACCTCCTTTCCCCTTCTAGCTCATAGTGGCATTATCCCCAAACCACTAAGCATCTGTATGCAGTGGAAGGAAGCCTAAACACCATGATAAAGCCATGAGAACAAATCTGAACCACAGCAAGCAATTCTTAGTGAATAAAAGTGATCCTGCAGTACCATAATTAGTTTACAATTCAGTCTTTAAATTACTTGCACCTTAAGGATCTGTGAAATGAAAACACTTTACCGGTGTTCCCTAGAAACAGAGAGTGGGCACTGATGTAGAGAAGAGTACTGTGTTCAACGGTTAGTTCAGGATGCAGTATAAAAACAAGCCTGGAAGACAGAGAAAGGTTCTATACAGATTGTTATCTTTTTAACTCCGCCAATTCTATATCTAAAGAAAAGCGTGTATATTCTTGTTTGAAACCTGAGAAACGAAGACTCTTATGTCACAAATGATGTACTGTAGCTATGGACAGGATAGTCAAAATTTATTTCAGAACAGAAGCTTTGTTGGGCTGCATCAAATGCAGAATACTTAGGGGCACGGTTAAATTACCAGTGTGCATAAACACTGAGGTATGCCTCAAATAAGCCTTTTAAACTTTAAAACTGAACTATAACATACCCATGCAGTAATTTTTTTTTCAGTGCTACTAATGAAGAAATAAAGCCTGCACTGGAAAATTACAATATGACAGTTCTGTTGCTTTTTGACCTCATACAGGCTTTATGACAGGGTATGTTTAAAAACCTAAATATTTCCACAAGATTTAAACATCACTGGGAAAGCTGAATTTAGAGAAAACAAAAGAACAATGCCCATGACAGCCAGCACTGTGGAACTGGGCTGTGTGAGGTGGTTTAGAAGGCTGGGGTTAAAAAGATACACAAAGAATTTTTAAAATTACCCCCAGTGTTGATTCGCTGATTTAAATTTAAGTACACCAGATACTACAGCAAGGGGCTACACTGCAAAAAGGTCATCTATTTACAGAAGAGTGATTTAAAGACATCATGGTTTCCTTTACAAACAGATGTAAGAACAAGAGTTGTCCACTTAAAAAAAAAAAACTCTACACTTCAACCCTCCACTGTTATAATCCATTGAATTGCCTGTATTAGAGGCAGATTTTTCTCCCCTATTTGATTTTCCAAATGAATTTCCATCATTTCTTCCTCATCCATGGCCCTGGCTCTCCTGAGAAGTCTCTGGGCACAAATCATAGGAGGGCAGATTTTTTTTTTTTAATCTGCAATTAAAAACAAAGCCAGAGCACTCTGCTTTGCACAGCTCAGTCGTCACTATCAGACAGTGTCTCATACTGTGCTGAGAGGAGTGGGGCAGGTTCCCGCTCCCAGATGCGGTTCTGCTGATGTGGAGCTGCTTGGGTGATGGCAGACGGGGTGCATGCGATCGGTGTTGGTGGTGTACTGCTCAGCATCCGTATGGTCAGAGGGTTGTACGGGAACTGAGTAGAACCTGCCAAAAGGAAAGTGAGGTTTTCAGTGTTAGCATTCAGTGCAGTCTTTAGAGGATGGAACAAAGCAAGAAGAGTGTTTAGGAAAATGGTCTTTTGTAATGCCTTGAAAACAGAATGGCAAGGAAAGGCCAATAATCAGTTTAACTTTAAAAAGGATTAATAATACAAGTAGCCACATGAGTGGGGTGATAAGTTTGTGACATCATAGTATGTGTCTCCTTGGAGAATTCAAGTAGGGAAACTATTGAATATTAAGCTTTAATCAGAGGAGTCTAGCCATACTAGCAACTTTCCAGTAGAAATCAGAAATATAGCTCAGAATGAGGCAAATAGATGAAGCTTTTAGCCAGGCTGTGTGACCTCTACACGATCTCACTTGGCCAACTTCAATGTGTATGAGATTTAAATGGGGGCACAAGAGTACCAATTCCCTTTGTGATTTATTTCTCCATTGCATATCTATCAGCTTAAAAAAAAAACCGTAAGACATATTTTATCAAATAATTCCTTCCTTCCCTAAAATAAAGTAATGGAACCATGAGGTAAGAAAATAGCTGGGTAGAGGGGGGTCTAGGCAGGGAATGAGAACCAAACACACTGACATGTGAAGATACAGCTTCACTTCGTGTTGTATGGTAATAAATTTTGCTTTTGTAAGAGATTACTAATACATAATCCTTTTTACACATGACATTAGAGGTTTAAAAGGCAGAAGCCTTAAAGTGTACAGATATAATAATTGTGAAATTGTTAGACACAGCAGGCGGGCTCAGTTCATATTTAAGGGTGGGGAATGGGACATGTGTATTAATCCACATGAAAGAAAAGCATAAATAACTTTATTTCAGAAACAGACTAGCTTTTAAAATATTTAATTCTTGTTTGATTGTGTTGTGTATTATGTATGGACATGAAGTCAAAGAACAACTTTTGGGAGTTGATTCTCCTCTAATACCTTTGCAGCCTGCAATCCTTTTACACTTCCATAGTTATATTTTTAAAAGTTTGCCCCTCAACACACTCTTGTCAAAACATTACACTGCCCGGTTATGATTTTGATTTCTTAGTAAAAGCTAAAGGTCAATCACCACAGTCTATGGAAGAGCTAGAACCGAACTTAATTGCAAATACTGGTTACCACAAGCAGAGTACAGAGATAGTGATGTATGGATCACGTAAATATAAAGTCTCTTATGGCAATAGACCCAAGCAATAACAGAAAAACTACAGTCAGTTCTTGCCCAAACTGTACCATCTAATTCACAAACAAGTAATATTAAGAAAGCATTGATAAAACTCAAAATCATTTTATCAGTTAAGTGAGGCTTCTCACCTGTTGAAGAGGGTCTGTCTTCCCAGGCCCATCCTGGTGTCTGCCTGTGGTAATCACCCTCTGAATGTACAGAGGAGACAGAAGAGGGTCTTTCAGTTCCTAAGTAGCTTTGCCCAGGAATAGGAGATTTAGACTTCCTGCTGTTTGATTTGTTAATCAGCTTTGGTTTGCATACTCCTAAAAGTGAAATTCAAATTAAATTATTGATTACTGATAAATAATTTAAGTTTTCAGTGACAAAAACAAACCCTCCCAAAATGTTGACTATATAACACTAAGTGAAGAATCCAGATGGAGGCACATTCTCATCCTCTAACCTTAAAAGCATGGTGACAAAGGGAATGCCGCTGGCCTTAAGACTGTGTAGGTTATGGTAGGAACCATCTGCTTCCCTCTGCCCCCACCTCCACCTAGTTTAAAAGAAACTCCTGGAGAAGTAAAGGACAGGCTGCAGCAGATCTGCATTTACTTGAGGACTTCACAGAGACTCTGTACATCTCACTGGTGCTCTGTAGCCTCCCACCACACAGTTGACAGCACTCAGATATGACTGGGTTCTAAACCCACATCACTTAGCACATATTTTTCATCAGTGCCAACAGTTGCACCTTACCCCAGTTATATCACTTTAGCTTCCTAAT